TAAATGTGTGAGTAATGTTAACCTAAAAAATATAGAAACCCGATTGGCAAGAATTCTTAAGGCTATCGGAACTGACTACTTATTAAGGGGCGTAAATGCAGACAGTTTCTAGTAACGTGGAGCATCATACAATCATCATTCAATTGACAATTTTAATGATCAAAAATAACTTTTAACGAACAACGACCGCGTCTTGTAATACACAAGGATTTTTTTTATAGATTATGATAATTTTATTTTGAAATGAACTTTAAATAATAACAGAAAAATACATTTTATACTACCAATACAAACATTTTTGATATTTAGAAAGTTTATTAGAAATTTTAAAATAGTGTTTTGACTATCACACTTCAAACACTAAAACAATAAATATGTCTAGTTCACGAGGCACGAACATTTTTCCTGTAAGGTTAGTCTTTGTACTAAAACACCTCTGCTCCGACCGACGGACTGAGCAATATTATAACTAATAACTGTAAAATATTAATTTTGGATTTTTGTCTATAGTGTTTTTTATTGGATGATTGACAAAATAGTCCCAGATTTGGGCGTTCTCAGTGGTTTATTTTATATTTACTAATCGCCAATACTTTTTGGTTAAGCATCAAAAATGTATATTTACATACCGAGAAACTGCAGTTTGCTGGTTCATGTGATATTTTTAAGTTTGTTAATAATTTAAAGTGGTGAAGCGGAATTGATTTACCGAGAACAAATTATCATAATCAAATTAAACGAAAAACAGGGAACGATGGTAAAAACAAGTTAGGGCCTTTTGGTATTGAGCCTTATACATAGTATATTGTATTTACTTTGATATACATAACACATATCTATATGACCTATCAATAAATGCATAATAATTGCATAATGCATATTATTGCTCAGCTACAACCCAACGTTCACGCCGTAACTAAATATATATCACATAAATCCAAAATCGTCTGTCGAACACCAATATAATGTTATACCTACGATTGTCTCCATTTTATTGATTTAACGCATCAGTGACGTACATATTCTGTCGGCCGAATTTCGATGTATCAATATAAATACAAATAATCATAATAATATGTTTATATTGTATCCTTCATCATAATATTATATTATTCAAAACGATACACCGAGCTAGGGCCGTCGGAAAAACATTGATTTTATCGGTTGAGAAATTGCTACCGCCCACACACCTTTGCCGCTGCCCCCCCCCAACCATGGTCATCCCCTTCCCGCGCCGGTGTGCAGTGCCACCGCCGCCGCCGCCACCGCTGCCGTCTGACGAGTACGCGCCATTCTGGGTCATATCGTATTGATATTTCGCCACGTTTTCCGCCGTCGCCGTGGCCGCCGACGCCGCCTCCACCGCTGCCACTGTCGCCACTGCCATCGCCGCCACTGCCACTGCCACTGGTACCGTCGACTGTGGTCATGGTCACCGGGGTTGTACGACCGCGGTTGCCGCCGCCGCCGCCGCCGCCGGTCTCGCTAATTAACATTAACCCACGCCACTGACGCCCCGCTGATACGGACGGAATGGATGTGCGGGGGCGGCGAGGGGAAGGCGCCTTCTTCTCCGCCCCTATGTTCTTATCTCTCCCGCATTATCTCGTGTGCGTTTGTTTTCCTTTTTACCCTCCCTCGCTAAACGACTCTACACGAGCACGCACACTTACAGGTATACGCGGTATACGATTATTATACCCATTAGACACCATTCGCACGCGATTTTTTCTCCTTTTTTCCTCTCTACCTTTCGCCAAAATCACTCTAAAAGATTATCCTTTAGTTGGTTGTTTTTTTTTTTTTTTTTGTTCTCGTTTGAAATTTTTGCTTTTCATTATAAACGAGTAAAATGTCGTTTTTTTTCTTCGTTTTTTTGTCTGTGTATTTTTATTTTTGTTTGACGGTTTGAAATGACAATGGAACGCATGCATCTCCGATCAATTCTAAAAGTTTAAATCTCCGTAGAGACCGTAGACTTCTTTTCTGTTTTCATGATTTCCGGTTCCACTCGCACTATCTTAAAGTATTAAATATTATATAATATATTAAGAGGCCATCATCATAATATTATACCCATATATTGTGTTCACAAACTGTACATTTATCAAAACTCATTTTACAATATTATTTTGAATTTGATAGTAAATTGATCTGATTGTCAAATTTAAAAGTTACAATATTTTCTAGATCTGTATGTGGAATTCTTGTGATATTTCAATCAAACATGAATTGAGCCATAATAAAATGTGTAAACAAATTACAAGTTAAAACGAACATAACTTGCTTTGAAATTGAAATTCCATACACGAAGACCTTAGGTAGTAATATTATTTTTAAGCTAGATAATAGGTTAATTTATTCACTTTGATATTAATAACAACTATATAAAATGGATTCTTTCGAACATAAAAATTGACTATATTATACTTTAGTAAGACTGAGAAAACACATACGGGTATGACGTTCTTTTCATAAAAAATCTTCAAAACTTATAAGAATATATCAATGGGACACAATATATTATGTACTATAATTTATTTTTATTTATTTTTTCTGATTTTCTGGGATTAGGGTCGCTCTTTATATTATACATAGGCTTTTGTAACTTTCTCTTTTCTTACATTTTCAATAAACTTTGAGCGTATGGTTATTGATTTTCTTTAAAGTAAATATTTCACTTTATACTTTATGGATATAGAAAATATGTTTGCAATACTTTTTTTTTCGTTTTCCATTGTAGTCATTTTACGCCACGTAACCACGTAATATAATAGACATAATATTTGTATTTACTGTACGTATCCAGACAGGAGTTAAGTAACAAGACCGGATATTATTCATTTTAAATTTTTTAAATTATATAATAAAATAATTATGATTAGTGAACGCGTGTTTTGAGTAATAAACAAGTTTCGAAAATCATTATAATTCTTTTGAAAACTGTCATATATTTTTTAAATGGGTACTTTAGAATGGAACATGTAGACGTAGAACCCACATTCAAATGTAAAATTAAAATATAATAATGTAGTGCATGTATGTTGTCATATATATTTTTAAACAAAAATCAAATACGGGTCGTTATAACTTATAACTATTTGAAGCTCGTTTTAAACCAAAATTACGAAAAAAAATTCATATATTTAATGGAAAATATTTATCATTCATTCATTCTAATATTAGAATAATAAATATAATCGTTTGCGATTTACTGTTAAAAAAAACCAAAAACACTAGATTAAAATCTCAATGAATGGTTTTCTATTTTATCCTATTGTGTAAATAACAAAATATTTATTGCGATACCATATTATAATAGAGTTAGACCATGACTTATTATTTCAATGCCACGTACTTTAAATTACTATCGGTTTTTTTTTTTATCGATTATTTATCAAATTAAATTGGTTAATATGTGTTAATCTATTATAATATACCTACACGTGTAATATCTGTAATCTGCAGCTATGTACTTAGTACTTACCGTACTGTATATAGTTTTTATATTGTAATCATTTGCGTCGATGTATTTCTGTTATCGTTTCGGAGGTCATTTGCATGCCGTGACTGTGTTTGATATTATTATTACACGGGTACTTGCATAATAATATTTAAAGTGTTTTAAAAAATACACTATGCTCAAACTTAGAACAATCTGTAGAACTTATACTTGATGCTGTGGACCCTTATTATCAGTGTTATATCATTTTTATGGGCACATATTGTTATTATAATATTTATTCGTAAATTGATATTGTACGATTATGTCCCAACGCGTCTACAGCCGGTGTGGTTTCATTAACGTCACTGGGATCCGATAAATTATTAAATAATGCCGGTCGGTGCTCTGCAGCAATAAGTGTGTAGAGGTGTGGGTGAGGGATTTTTTTGTGAGGGTGAGTAGTCGGGGCACGTGACGCAAAAACGGAACGTTTGAAAATGACAAATTGCTATAACTAAATACGCAGCCGCCGCCGCTGGCACGACACGGCGGTCATGGATATATATATAGAAATAAATATGTCGTGGGATTATTCGGGCAAAATGATTAATAGCCGGGCGGCATGTGATATCCTCCTCGACTCTCGAGCCACGACCGCTCCTCCGTTTTGTCACTCTTTGCCTGTAAACGTTTTGTGTTTATTTTCTTGGTTTTTTTTTACACCTAAACACACCTAAACAACCACCACGCAACAACGACGCCCAGAGAGGCTTTTCTCCTTGTTTTAAAACCACCGCCGTTCGTCATCCACACTGGAGCAGCGCGCCCCATCAACTACCTCGGTTACTACGGGACATAATATCTGCTCCTCTTTTCTTTTTTCCTTTTCACAGTATATAGGTAATAATATATAATTTTTGTAACGTCACGAGTTTATTATAATGTATTACGACACTTATTACTACAACCACGAAATTGGATCTCCATTAGGAAGCTGCGAGCTGCATGGCCGCGGGCATAACTCACACACGTATAGGTATTCATGTGTCATATCCAGGAGATAGGTTAGGTTAAACACTTAAACACACATTTTTACTTTCTCATGAATTTCGATAAAAATATTTTACTAAACCTACTGAGTGTTCCGGACAAATGTAAAACCAACAAAACAGTATAAAAACAATTTTATTTCTAAACGCTTGTAATGCTCACCACTGGAATGTTTATAAATTCCATATAGGCGTAGATAGTAGGTATTTAATTTTTCCAATTTTGACAACAACAGTTAAATATAAATAAAAAATATATTGAACTGGTTATGTAGACAAAGTCCAAAATTAATATAATTTTTAGTATTTTTAGTTCGATGGTAGTGATCATAATCATAATCAAATATTATTAAATGTTATTATTTGCACTCTGCTTAATTTTTTTACATTATAATTAAAAAATTATTATTTTCGAAAACCGAAAGTTTAAATGCTGTTATTTCTCACATGATAATCCTGTTACTGTTTATCACTGCACTCAATTTTTTTTTACATTTGTGTTTTAGATTCCCATACCATGCAGACCACAAAAGACATTTTCAGTTTTGGTTTATGAGATCCCCGAAGACATTCCTGAAGAAGACATTCGCCATTCGCTGTACAAATTTCAAACTGTCGTCGAGGTGGTTAGACTTTATCATGCCGGTAATTTTTAATTAAACCATATAATACGGAACAGTTTTAATTATCCATAAGGACGACATTTACATATAGAAAATAATTAAATTATACTACGGGTCCAATAATATTGTGTTATATTCAAATTTATAAAAAAAATTATAACTACCTAAGGGAGTTATGCTTTTTTATTGTTCAAAATCATATGATTTAAAATTATAGAACATACTTAAAATTGATAAGGAGTATTATTATTATTATAAAAATCAAACTTACGATTACTATTTTCACCAGATGCATTATTATATTATTATATGCCATGGTGTATACTATATATTGTATATACAGTTTAATGTTGGGTTGTAAATTTGTAGTAAAATTATTTATTTACTAAATAACAAACATAGTATTAATATATTTTATAATATATTCTACGGTACAAAATAAAATACATAATATTCAGTTATATATTTGAAAGGTGATGAAATTAATTAATTAAATAACTAGTTCGTGTTTACATAATGCTCGTACACGGGTAATCGGTTTCGGTAGTTATTCGAAAGTTTCCGAGGGAGTATTACTCAAAACGATAATAATAATAACTTACCAAGTTGGAACATCATTAAACATTACTAATGTAAACTACCAAAACAAATTCGATGTAATGCTTAAACGTCAAGTCATTTAACTCGTAAAACAACAGTATTAATTAATCAAATCTCTGAACACCATGATATTGCTTACCGCGTGCAATACAAAGTTTGACAATTTAAAATTGAATAAATTGAATTAAATCAATATATTAAGCTGCGGAAAATTATTTATTTTTACAATAGCTTATCAAATACAAATTTAATTTAGTAATGTTAAGAGTGAGTTGATTTCTATTGATAAATTCTTTGTTGTGTGTGTACTATTGGCATGAAACTACAAAATAATAATGTTCTGAACCAAAAATAAGTGGATAAACAGTAAAGTATTATGATTATTATAGTTGTATACCCATTCCTGCGAATATTATACTGGTAAATAGTAAATACCCATTAGAAGGTGTACTGATCTTTATACTCGTTTTGGTGCTTATTCTAAAATATGTATCACTTGTAATATAATAAAATTCAAATAGACGTATCATAATCTTATTTGCTAGTGGAATTTACTAACTATATTCAGTGGTCAAAGTGGGGGGGATACGGAGGGATGACATCCCTCTACTTTTTTGTATTTACATTTTTCATAAAATACTACACAAGGTATGAAGAATGTTATGATATCAGGAAATCTGAATTGTAAGGCATCCATCCACTTATCTTGAGCCATTTCGACCGCTGACTATATTAGCAAGAGTCGGGTCTTACACAAATCTTTACTGTTTCTATCTTATACACATAATGTACTTTACAATGAAGGTACACTACGCAATGAAAAATAAATTAATATATTATTATATAGTAAATGATACGCAATAAGTGATTTTAGAGTTGTTACTTGTTACGCGTTTTGCAAGAATTATAAACATTGAAGAAAATTACATTATTCTTTGCGTCTCTATACTCTCTAGTACCATTTTTTTCCTATTGTATTCTGCATTTTGATATTAAATATTAATCATTTTGTAATCATTTTATATTTTACAAAATAACAACTTCCATAACCTTTTTAGAAACAACAATAAAAATGAACCTTTTAAACTTAATTTTTTTGAAAAAAAAACATGTTCTCATCAATTCTTAGCATTATTTTAATTTTGTAGACCATAACAGTGACGTTGTTCTAAATTAAAATTCTATTGTCTAAATGACGTTTTTCATTGACAGGTCTGAAAACTGAACGCCACAGTCTGCCATATTTATAACATTTACAATCTAGATTTTAGACCGACCTTATAATGGATGGGAAACGAAACGTAGCTATGATAAAACAAAATAGAATGCAAAAATAATACGAGAAGATGAATTATTATTTAAAAAATAATCCATCACGTGGAGATGAAAAACGATTTTACCACGTCCAGTCGTTATTTGGACACTATTTCAAAAACTTATGCTATAGTATATGTATTGAATTGCATGCAAAAATGCACGTCGGTTTCTAGTATTCTCGGACGTTATCCCTTCTACCCAGTGCTCTTCATATTCCTCTTGTAAATACGTCATATCTACAAAATATTACACGCGTACTGGAAATATTGGTTTTCGTATTTGAATATATTTCCCTTTTCTTTTCCCTTATACATACATATAGTAAAACATCAACATGTACACGTCATGCGTTTTCCACGTACATCTTTCAATGGGAAAACTCGAAAGAGAGTATAAAACGAAATACTTTTGAAAACTATACGCAGCAAATCCCACTCACATATTATAATATATATATAATACACGCATGTCCGGCGGCGATGCCTCTGCGGGGGTGTCGGATTAGGCTCGTGGGGAGTTTTTCCTTTCTTTTCTTTCTTTCCACCACTTCCACTCTCACTCACTCCCTCACGTGCTAACCATTTACCCGATACGCCGAGAGACAATATCCCGGCACGCCGAAATAATGTTTACTGATTCTTATTATTTCGCTCGAGGGGGTGAACGAACGGTGGCTCTAGGGGGGTAGCACTCCAAAATCATAACAAGCTAGTCTACATGTATCCAAAAACAAAACAACCATCATTGTTTACATAGGCGCAATTAGAGTAAAAATATTGGGGGGGCTTCAGCCCCTCACATAAATTTTTCAATCTCTGCCTCTCAGAAGCTTTTTTCTACCCTTAAACCTAACCCTCTATAAAAATGTGCTCATTGGATGGCAAGTAAAATTTAAAAAATAAAAAATAAAACAATAATTCACTTTTAACTTTTAAGTATAGGTAACAGATTTAATTAGTTTTTAACATTTTATAATCTTATTTTTCTATTTTTATTAGCAAATGTATTTAAAATAATTTCGGTGTCAACAATTATATCTCTCTCAATATTAAGTATTGCCAATTTTGAGAACCGTTCTTGTGACATCGTAGACCTAAGATAATTATTTATTCTTCTCATTGCCGAAAATGACCGTTCGCAAGTAGCCGAACTGACTGGAAGAGTGATAGCTACTTGGATCATTTTAAAAAGATTTGGAAAAGTATCTTTAGATAATTTTTCTTTTATGGTTAAATAGCTAGGAACTCCTTTAATCATATTTTTCAAAACAGTCATCTCACATTGCAAATCATTAGGGATGACTTCAAACAAATTCTGTAAAGTAAAATACAATTATACAGTTTTTAAATGAAATAGGTACTTGATAAACATAAATTATATATATAAAAAAAAAAAACCTTATATTGATTTATAAGTAATGATGATCCCTTAAAGTCTAATTTTAACAAGTTATCTACACAAGTCGCAATTTGAATGCTCTCTTCAGAAAATCTCTCTTTCATTTGACATATTATTGTATCTATTACTGGATAAAAAGCATGAATCTTCCAATATTCTTTTGGTTCTAATGTAGTGGTACTTGTATTATCACTTTGGTGATTATTTTCAGCTGAAGTTGATGACATAACAACATAATTTTTTAGATTAGTGGACTCCCTTCTCTGCCTTTTAGAGCCACCTAAGCTCAATATAAAAAAAAATATATTATCATATTGAATTTAAAATATTTAATTAATTAACAGTATCATATAATGTAAAAATTTACTCTAGGTACCTTGAAAAGGAACATTAATTTCAATTACATTGTCTTTTGAAAATACAACCATTTTTTCCCACAGTTCACTGTAGTGAATAGAAGAACGATAACTTTCTAATGTATCAATTACTCCTTTTATCAAATTNGGGGTGAACGAACGGTGGCTCTAGGGGGGTAGCACTCCAAAATCATAACAAGCTAGTCTACATGTATCCAAAAACAAAACAACCATCATTGTTTATGACCCGACTGCTGAGAAAAGCTGTATATAATATTATGTAACTAACATTACAATATGCGTTTTTTTTTAAAAGCTTAATATTATCAGCAAAAGGAGCATTATGTACATTTTTGGAATTTCCACTAAATAATTTGTAAAGATATACAAAATGAATAATGGAATGCAAGTAAAAACGAAATAATTTGATTACAAAAATCAGCAAAAGAAAAATATAGAAATAAAAATATTTTTACTGTGCATAACTAAATAATTATTGTAGATACTTAAACAATTTCAAACAATTTGTTTTTTTTTTTTATAAAATTGTTTTGAAATAATATTAAATAGCGTAGCTCATTTTTGGCTAATTTTTATTGCAGTACAGCTTGCAGGCACTTATTTTTAAGGAATTTAACTTGTTATTGCTTTTTTCTTCGAAAATTGTATTCTAATACAATTTGAAAAATAGCTTATAGAAAATATCAAAAGTTTTGTATACAATGGATAATTTTATTGCAAGACACACATTGCGTACCAATGTATATTTTTGTATGATTTTCTTTTAATTTTGAATGGATCATTTTTGTCAAATACAGTGTGGTTATCGTGTTAAGAAATTACGATTCAAGCAGAATAATGTACAAACACATACTAAAATTTTCTCAAAGAGTTTCAACGTTTCGGAAATCATTTCTTCGATGATTTGAATTCAATAATAAGCATAACCTTCATTTTTGAAAGAAACATTATTATCTGTGCTATGATTTGTCGTTGTAATTATTTTATGTTTTTACACTTTCAAACAAAGTATACAATTTTAATTTTATATTCTGAATCAAAATATTTTTACACATGTGAATCGCAGTACAACAAAATTGAATTTTGAAGGAGTAGATAATTATTTATAAATATTTTAAGTCTAGACATGAAGAGTGAAATGGCACTGAGGTTGATCCACGGTGAAATGATAGTCCACTATTATAATATTACATTCTGCTCAACTAAAATATAAATGCATATTATAACTTATGACGAATTAACTACAAATCAGAAATTTGATACTAAAGTACCTCCAAAAAGTGTTCTGTATCAAAATATGAAATCAAAATGTATGTTCGTCATTCATAAATGTTATAACTTTAAAATAATATCTAGAAAAAAATAATATTGTTTAATAATGTCTTTAAAATACGTATTAAGTTAAAAAAATATAACTTTTTAACTTTGATACTTTTCCAGAAAATTAGTATGTACCTTTTAAAGAATTACATAGCCTATATAGGTGTCTATGGGTGTCTGCGTATACATTTCAGGTGCAAAACAAAATGCAATTAACATTATATAGCCGGCTCGGGCATTGCAACCCAATACACTTCCTACACTCGGGGTGAGTTATAGTTAATATATTATTCCAATAAAATAATTTCATAATAATAATATGTTGTACAAGTTGAATCACTTCAGGCTAGGATCCGCAGAAACAACAACAACTAAATTGTAATTCTTGGCCCTTCGACGCTCAAAATATCTTGATAACCCTTCGGACGCATAATAATATTATGCGGTAATAATCATTACATTTATATATGCATATAAAACAAGACTTTCTGATTAGTTTGAGTCAACTCGATACAAATTAGAATATTTGGGTCAAAAACCTAATTGGCAGATAGAAATGAATCTTAGAAAAAACCAAACGAAACAATTCGGTATAATATAATAGGTAACTGTAAGTTTTTTTTTATTGTTTAATGCTTTTATATGAAAAAAAAATGATGATTTTAGTCACCAAATAATTTTGATTTGGGTTTGAATTTCGAGTGAGGGTGTAATATCAAATATTTATAAGTATGAGGTATTTTGGAAATCATTTTTGGGATTATAAAAAAAGTTAAAAAGTTTCTTTCAACACAGCTTTAGAATTTTAGATACTTATACAGTGTCCCAAGAGGTCCGAATAAGATTGTGTATGGGTCAGCAGTTGGTATTTTATTTTAATATTATGATAATATTTATGGGTTTTGGGAATCATTCGAGAAATCAAATAAAAAAAAAAAAGAAGTTTAAATTGTAAACTGTCGAAAAGTTATTATAAAGTAATTAGATGATTTATAAACATTTCAACCATACAAAACACACGGTAGAATATTGAGACAACAATTCTATCCATTTAAAACGATTGCCACCCTTGTAAGAATTCGTGAAACGGAGCCCCGAGAGGCGATATTATATAATAACAACTACGTGCAATTATAGCTGTCCAGTACATACACTAATATTATATACAGTAGAATGGGTGCCTTGGGCATTGGAATTCGATGCGTCTTTTCTCTATTTCATTATATATATATATATTATATGTTATGGTCGCTGTAATAATTTGTGTATATATATATATATATATATATTTGTGTTGTAAGGGGTATAATGCGCTGTAACAGTATTGTGATCGCGAATACTTGAGCTGTCTTCTCGCAATTGTTTACCCCACATATAATGAATAGTGCGCAGTTCGTCGTCATATTTATTATATAGATGAGATGTTGAGTTGTATGTACGATTTTAGCTGCAATGAAGATTGCATGTGATTTTGAACTATTTTCGTGAGTAGTAGGTAACCATACTATTATGACATACGATTTTCGTTTTACTTGGAAATTTGCAACACAAATACACAATTAAACAAACAAGTATTTTCCATACGATACATGTATCGCCACAGGATACTCCTTTAGTAAGTAAAAAAATTCGACATTCTTGGTGAATCTCCCTGTATAAATAACGTCGTTACGTTTGAAAGTTTAGAAAAATAAGTTGATTTTACATTTTTGTTCTCTCGTTTTCTAATTTTTAACGAATTGAATGTACTTACCTAACACAGACTGGCGGATGAGACTACTTACATAATTGTTATAACGTTTTTAATTAACACAAATTTAATATTGTTTTTGTTAATAACCTTTACTATCAGTGGAGTTTATCTATCAATAACAATATTATATTATTAGGCACTATAATGACAGATAATGCGTGTATGTCTAAAAAAAAACAAACTATGTTGGTTCAATTTTTCTTAATTTTAGGGAGTTCAATGTATTACCGGTTGACTTAGTTTTCAAAAAAATAGCTATTTTGTGGTTGGTTAAATATTTAGATCAATGTATAAAGAAAAATGAAATTAGTAACAAAAGAACTTTTCAATCTTTCGATGCTAAAGCATCAATATTTAAAAAATCAGTTGATCAAAAATTTGTTGATTATCTTGGTCCTATATATTACAATTCTATGCCTTTCTCTATAAAGAAGAATGTTAATACTATTTACAATTATAACAACTCTAAAAAATTAATTAATGAATGGCTATATGTATCATTAATAAATTGTAACGTAGGTTATCCTTATATTCTATTTATGTAACTCTTTTGTATTGTAAAATTACGTAATAATAGTATTTTAATTTTTATATCAATTTATAACTCTCTATCTTCGGCACAAGCTTAGCTTAAAGAAGATAAATAATTCAAATGTACAATTAATGTAAAACTGCATATTTGTTTATTTAAAAAAAAAAAATATAGCATTTTAATATCGTACAAGACAGTCAAGAGGTAATTTAATTAGAATTTAAATAACTATTTTAAACATTTGTAAAATATTAAGTACCTAATTGTATATTTTTTTAAAAAAATGTGTGATATTAAAAAATATTAACTCACTATGTATATATTGAAATCGGACGCGGATTATTATTGTACATTGTTGTATGCATTACACGGAATGTTTGTAGAATTTCTCAATAATTTTCGGGAGAATGGTAGAAAAATATAATGTAAATACTAAAAACTATCGATGTACCACCAATAATAATAACACGTAACCCGATCGCGGAAAGTCGAACTATGTGTGGGTCCATAATAACTGTCTGGCGCAGAGTAATAAGATAATCATTTTATACGCACACACCATGGCCGTGGTATGGTATTTTCAATTTCTCTTGTTCGCCATATTGGTAAACTATTTCTAAATATATACATAGCTACGTCAAGCGTTGGAATTCGTATATTATGCTGGTGAATTTTCCCGGTGTATATAATATTACATTTACACCCATAGACAATAATAATAATTATTATCACTTCTCGTGCTTACAATGAACAACAGTGCACTGCAACCGATTAACTAAATACTACGATTAACTGAAAAATATCAAATTACAATGAGTATATACACATTTAGCTACTACAGCTAAACCAATCTAACTTTTTGATTTAATTTAAATTTAATTTAATTTATCATATGAAACTTACCGGAGAAAATCCATCGTTACATTGGTACAGTATATTTTATACTCTTTTCAATCCAAAAAAAATTATTAATTATATTTTATTTTGTTGGTTGTTTAATGGTTTATTTTTAAGGTTTATTTTTATGATAAATAATCTAAAATGTTGGAACTATCTATTGAATTATTAAAACGAATTAAAATTGAATCGCTAAAAGCATATTATCTATATTTTTATTCATAATAATATTATAAAACTCAGATTAAAATCATGTCTCAAGTTTGATTCTAAACATTATTCAATTACGCAATAAACATGCTTGAATGTTAAGCTATTAAAAAAAGAAGGTATTTTTATATTATGATTATTATTATTGAATGTATGAATGTGTGTTATACAAGAATTAATCTTTAATAATGAAAAATGTTGTTCAATAAACCTGAACATTACGTACCAAAATATACAAAATACATACATATACGTGATTAAAATCTCTGATTAAGCAAAAGTTTGGGAAATCTTAAGATCCAATTCACTTGATTAGAACGAGAGCTCACTGAGCAATAGAGATTATTGGTCTGACTTAAAACTTATACGTATAATATAATTTACTGTAG